CTGGTGGAATGTAATAGGAAATTCTGCATTAGAATCATTTGAACAGGTAATAAAGATGAGAAAATACAATAAAATTCTTGAAAACAATAATCGAAATAACGGAAACTACTTGTGCCACAATAAGAAATAATACATAACCGAGAAAGAAAAACATACGGATGGCATACCTGATTAGATGATAGAAATATCATACAGGAGAAATGGACACAGATGCAGGCAGATTTACTGAGCAAAGATCTGCAAAAGGAAACAATTTGCATCTTTATATAAGTCTGAGCTCGGCTCCAAGGAAAAACATGAGAAAGCTACCTTCACTCTATACACACAAAACCGAACCATGATCCGTTGAGCAAGCTAACATCCTCGCCCATTATGACGACGCCAAAAATAGATCCAACGTATAAAATTCAAGGTATACGTTCACCTCTTATCACTTAACACAATTTCGAACAAAATCATGCTTCACATCTCGCTTGAATAAATATCATTCTACCAAAATATAGTTACTAAAAGCCACTTAAAAGTTCGTATCAAACTGACAGACGTGACGTACCGATGCCTTTCCTCATCTTCAACCTCTGGCTAAAGCCGATACCACCTCTTGGTGGAGTAAACACAACCTCAATGGTCTGGTTTCGATTAATCACCTTTTGGGATGGAATGTTGGTGTCTCAGGAGATGCAGACTAGTATAAGGTAGGTAAGTGTGTTGCACTATTCACGCATCAAAGTACCAATCAATCACAATGTGAACTTGTCAAAGAGTATGTTCATTGCTTACAAAAACAAGGGCGAACAACATTTTATCATTCTAACCAAAGTTCACAGAACTCGACATTACATAATAAGCACAACAAAATTTTTGATAAGATCATTAGTCCATACACAGAATTCATATCCAACGTCTGTCTTCCTGTTCTTTGCTTCTAGCATAGAGGTTTGTCCAGGAACTCGTGCACAAATGATCAACGGACTCATGAACCGGTACAGTCTAAACTGACATTGTGCAAACTTCTCTCCTAAATATCAGCAGCAAGGAGATTTCCAGGCAGCGAGACCTGTAACATAATATTCAAATAATGGTTTAAGCGATCTAAAGTTCAGAATCTCCGGCAGATCAATGAAACAGGAAAAAGCATGCTGTAAAATTCTGCGAGCACCTTTTCTCCTAATTTGAATGGAGGAAAGCCCTTGTAAGGGCATCCACTGCACCGGAATGCATCGCCAAGCCCACACTGCATCGTACAAAAAATAGTCAGCAAAACCCATAGCATGCAGTTTATATAGCAATTTTATTAGTTACTTACACTACCACATGCAGATTTAGGGTTGTTTATCTGATCTGCAGTAAGATCCAGCTTCACCGCTTTCTCCTCTGCCTCAGCCCTGCCACAAGTGCAGTTCTTGCAAGCTTTCCTTGTACTTCCAACCTCACAATCCCCGACTAAAATGCATTAAGCAATCCTTAGACATTTGTTAACTTGAAGCAGATATGAGAAGTCCATAAACATAAGGTACTATTCTTACCAACTGGAAGCTGTGGTTTCTTCAAGTCTTCTTCAGTCAGAAGACTGTCTTCGTCAATAAGATCTGACTCGTCATCAAGCTGAATCCTGGGAACAGTCTTTGTGAATTTCTTGATGGAGAAAGATGACCCCACAGTCCATGAAGCCTTTTTACACTTTATCTGATTAAAGCGAAATTTTTGTCATATCTCAAGACTAGGTACATGTAGTTTACAAGTAAACTGGTGAAAGGAATTACGGCTTTACCGTAAGTGACTTTGTGCTTTCAAGCGGTACAAATGCTTTCGTTTCTGTGGCTTGGACATCCAGAAACCCTGCATAGAGTAGTTTCCGCTCCAGCGTCAACTTTTCCTGCATAAAAACAAAATGAAGCGTTCAATAAGATATAGGAACATAGAAGACCAAATCAGAAATGAATGCATATATGAGAAATCAAAGGCTGATCATATTCAATCCAAAGTAAGGGACAATCAATTAAAATGGTTCGGCTTGCTATGTTGTGCGACTAAGGCCCATACGTATCTAAAATAATTTGAGCAACGAGGACTAGTTGATAGCTCTACATTCAAATGAATGCAAATAAGGAGATGCCAGTAGTTAATTTAACCAAGAAGATGGTCCCCAAGAAAGCCAAGTGAAGGTTCATTTTACTATGTTTCCACTTGCCAAGACCAAAAAACTTGGGATAAAATTTTTATTATAACCACTAAACAACGTAAGCATAGTAAAATTACCTTGTCGATGTTCTCATTAGAAGGCAGAGATGTCTGCACTAAGATCTTGCCACCAGGCTTCAACAGTCTACCAATCTCTTCAAGCAACTGCTCCGAGAAGAAATCAAGAGCCTTCGAAACAGAAACAATGACCTCTACCGAGGCAGAGCCAATTGGCAACTTCCCTCCTGTCACCAAGCCCATCCCCACTTCAATAATAAGATAAACACAAAAGTCTAATTTCTACTTCAACAACATATTTTTAGTTTGTTTTAATACTCTACTTCATCGCAATACTCTACTTCATCGCAATTAGTTTTTCTGCTTTCCAATTATGCCCCTCCTCTTTCAATTCTATACGTTACTCCTAAACGCATTAAAATTTGCACGTTAGACTTGTACATTAGACAGAATTTGAACTGTCAGAGTATAAAAATTTTGAGTTTAGAAGTAGTGGTTGCCTTTATAACTGTTAGAGATGGGGATTTGAAGACAGTATGACATGAAAAAAGGAAATTTTAGCTGTAGCCGTCAGTTCTTTAGGTTTAAACTTTCTAGTTTAAATTAAAGGGACTAAATTGAGGGTAATGAATGAGTTTGACTTGGTTATAATTACGGTATAACCAAAGGAAAAAAATTGATCATAGAAAAAGTTTCCATGGTTAATATTACCCTTAACTATTTTGAATATTTCATTTAAATCTTAATTTATCCTAATTCTAATTATATCTTATACTAATCCCACTTGAACTACCAATAGCTCAACAATTTAAAAAAAAAGATTAATATTATATGATAAACACTATTTTGAATATATCATTTAAATATTAATCTGTCCTAATACTATTTATATCCTATACTAATCCAATGTGAACTACCTGTACCTCAACAATTTAAAAAAAAAAGATTTAGAAATCATACATAGCTAACATATTATAACCAAAGGAAAAAAAATTGATCCAAACTCTAATATTGTGCAACTGCTACTCTTTATTGGAGGGATTAAATTTCAAACAACTTATAAGAATTGGGATAGCTAATAGCAAATGATTTGTGGGACAAATTTTGAGACAGCTTATAAGGAATTGAGGGACCTAACAGCAGCTTTAACGATTTAAAGGGGCTAGTTCATAATACAGAAGATTTAAGGGCGCAATGCCTCAAAAACCCATTTAATTTTAAATAAAAAAGGAAGTCAAAACAGAAACAAAAATTGAATCAAAGCAGAGAACTTTACCCAACGAATCGCCTTGGGTGATCACAAGAACATCATTCTCCGCAACAATCTCGCCTCCAACATCCTTGATTGCAGAAAGAACCCCGCCGATGGGAACAGCAACGAGATCCGTCAGCAATAGAGCCCGAAACTCAGCCGCCATTTTTTACCCCCACCCTCTCTCTCTCTCAATGCAATGAAAACCCTAGAAATCTTTCAACCAAACAAAAGAATTGAGATGAAACTTCAGCTAAACGATATTTATAAACAAAATCGAAAATATAAAACAAGGGGGACCAAAAAAACTCACCTCTTGGAGTGTTGCCAAATTAGGGGGGGGAACGTCTCACCAACAAAGCGTCGTATAAAGAATTTTCTTTGGAATATTTAACAAAACCCCCTGAATGTTTGATGTTTTACACAAATGTCCATCGAACTTCAGGAAATTATTATTAACAGAATTCAATAATTACGCAAACTTATTAGTATTTTTTTTAATCGGGCGGATGAAAATAAGGATATCAACGTGCAGGTGGAAGTTTGTGGAATTTACGAAGTTATAGAGGGAGTTTAAGTAACAGAATAAAACGTTGAGGGGGGTTTTGTGAAATTTAACCGAAAATATTCTATGTCGGTTAGCCTAATTTTGCGATCACGTGCGCAATGAAGGCGGCATGTGAACCGATTCAAGTGAATGAGTGGGGATGCGCCACGTGTGTAAGAAGATGCGTGCCGGCCGAATGATTGACGTGTGCACTGCACAGCATGCCGGGAGGCGGGAACGCGCTCGTGAAAAGCGAATGGTGGAAGTGACAGATGGCATGAAACTGGCGACAGAAAGAGACAGGAAACTACCGACTCGCTCCGAGCCAGGGTTTTCCTTACGAAAAAACCCACAGGTTACGCCTCACCTATTTGCAAACCTACCCATTTCTTTTTAGGGTTACGTGCATATATATCCCTTAAACTAACTCAAATCTCGATATTTACAAAACTATCCCCGATTCTTAATATTTGCAAAGCCTACCCTAAATCATCAAACTTTTGGCGTGGCCGTTGGGTTTTTTTTTTTTTGGGGGGGGTGGTCGGGGGGGGGGTGGGGAGATGCCTTGGTGCATACACATTTGTTATTATTGTTATGGTGTTTTCAGTCGTCAAATTATTGCCCCTTGCCAACAATAGGCAAATATCCACCGTCGTGCACCATTCAGTCAACTCGACACTTGGGACGACCAGAGTTCCAACCTAGCCGACTCGCCAAGTCGACATCTCGCTAGGTCAACTCGAATGACGGTACTTGCCGGTCCTTCCGTCAAAGACGACTCACTGCAAGTCCACTCAATTAGCTAATTAGTCAACATCTCCCTGAGTCGACTCGAAAGGGGATACTTCTCGACACCACTCAATACAAGCCAAAAAGGCGACTCCAACCTCGAACCCCCCGCTGACAACGTGTCGACATCACATTAAATGCTTGATAGGTACCGTCATTTCTCCATCCCCAACACTATTTAAGACACATCGGACCACGTCGGCTTCTTACGCTGCCTATCCTATCTCAATACCGACTACGCCCATTCCGTGACCACTCCACGGCCGACACCTGTAAAGTCAACGCTGGCTCATCCGTTAACTCAGACTTGACCGAAAAAAACTAAAATACCCCTCCTGCATTGCTATAAGAAGGAAAACTATTCCGAATGCGATGCCAAACAATTTTTTCTGCATCTTTCCTCCATTTTATAGCACTTAAGAAGTGAGACAGTTCATCTTTTCCCCAATCAAGTATCTTGCTAACTTGATCGTCAGAGGAACAATAGGAGAAACATATCCCGCCCTCTTACGAGTTGCTATTTATGCAGGGAAGAACAGCTCAACTCAAAACCAGATATTCGGAGAAGTTAGCGGTCGCTAATCAACTCAGTTCATATTAGTTTACATGTATGATTTAGACCATCAACAGTTTGGCACCCCACCGTGGGGCCTTCTTTCTTTTTTGAGCAAATGTCTAGTTCTGAGCATAGGGCCGACCAATCCATCTCTGGAGGACTACACCAGAGCTACATCACTCAAGTCCAGCTTGAAGAGATGGCTCATAAGATATCTCAGAGCCTCCAATAGCAGTTCGCTACATTTACCAGCAAACTCCTTAGCCGGTTCCCCTAACCACAGCAAACTACTTTCACCATTCCTCCGCCCTCCAGACGCTAGCCATCAGGGACTCATCCCCCTTCTGAAGCTCAGCGTGTAGTCCCCCCTCAGACTCCTTACCCTGCTGCCAAGCAGCGAAGGGATCGTGTCGAGCACACGACCCCACCACCACGCCAATCGACTCACCCAGCAGATCCTCATCGACGCCTCCTCCCTGACTCTAAAGCCACCGGCGAGAGTCCCGACCCTAGTTGCCATAGAGATCACACCGGGGGAGGAATGTCTAAGACTCTCCATTAACAACGTGCCTCTCTAGCCCTCTCGGCCACCCTTGGGACATCTAGATATGATCGGGTGTACAAACCGATCACTGAAGCCATTGGGGGGAACACCCCCTTACCGACGAACTCATGAACGCCCCATGTGAAAAGTTTAAGATGTCTCACGTGGAGAAGTACAAGGACGAAGGAGACACTACTGAGCATGTCCAGAACTATTATGATGCAATGAGCATGCTCTAGATGTCGGAAGCTATCATTTACCGATGCTTCTCTATTACTTTGTCGGGGAGCGCCAAGCTCTGGTGGAATGTCCTTGAGAAAAAGTCCATCAGCAACTTCCAACAACTCAGGCGGAAGTTTATCCATCACTTATTGGCAGACATCAAACAGAAGCCACCCCCTCATGTGCTAATACAGATGAGGCAGGAGCCCAGAGAGAGCTTTCGAGCCTACTTCAAAAGATTCTAGGCAAAGAGGCTAGAGGTCAACGACTTAGGAAGTTCGGTTGCTATGTCCGCTCTTGTAGCTGGCCTACAGAACAATGAACTGGTCGACTCACTGGCTAAGAAGTTGGTCACCAATTATGAGCAACTGATGGCCAAACCTCACGGGTATATGGACATGGAGGATGCCCGAGCTTATAAGGCAGCAACCACAGCCACAGAAGCATCTGCAACGACTTTAACAACAGTAGCACCAACAACAACACCAGCACCGCCGACATCTGCGCTAGCATCGGTAGTGGCATCGGCACCAGAGTCGACTTGGAACTCCCTAGCAAGGTAGGAGTGGCCAAGAGACCTCCCGAGAGTCGACCCCCACTACAACTGAACCGACAGAAGGGACAGACAGAGGGAGACAGCACCTCGACCTGCTCTCACGATCCTCAACACCTCTCTTGAAGAAGCTCTCAACATGGTCTGGAAGGAGGGGCATCTCAATGAGCCCCCTCCCAAGATGAGGTCAGACCTACAGAGCATAGACTCAGCAATATTGCCATTACCACGGAGATTATGACAATCTCACCAATGATTGCCATATGTTGAAGAGAGACATTGAAAACCTGATCCAGAGAGGGTATCTGAAGAAGCTTTTCTCCAGAGAGACAGGAGGGAAGCCGCCCAAGCCAAGACTGACATGAGATCTTGTTCATGATCACCTCGTCCCTAACCATAACAAGATAGTAGACCCCCAGAGCCCAGCCATAAGCGGGTCACCAACATGATCAATGGTGGCCTCACAGCGGGATGGTCATCTAATAACGCTCGAAAGAGGTATGCTAAACAAGCATTACGAGTCAACCTATGTGACAAGAAGCCGAGAGTGGATGAACTCATCTCTTTTGGAGACGCCGACCTGGAGGCCTTTGAGACGTCTCATGATGACCCAATCGTTATAACAGTCGGGATCGATAGCTTCCAGGTGAAGAGGATTATGGTTGACACGGGAAGCTCGGTGGACATCATGTATATCGATGCCTTCAACCAAAATAGGCATCGACAAATCTCGATTGCTTCGATATAGGGGCCCCCTCATCGGATTCACAGGGCACTCTCTCCTACCCGAAGGGATGATCACTCTCCCCTTGATGGCCGGAGAGTACCCCCGGCAATCCACCGTTCAAGTCTAATTCCTGGTGATAAATCTCAAGTCGGCCCATAATGTCATCTTAGGCCGAACCGCCCTCTACCTCCTATGGGCCATCCCTTCAACCTATCACCAGATACTAAAGTTCCTAACTCCTAAGGTATTCAGGGTGACTAGGAGCAATCAAAAAGAGGTCAGGTCCTGTTACCTACTCTCGACCAAGGGTAAGGGTGTGCAAGAGACTCTGTCTATTAAGAAGGTCTGTCTCTAGATGGAGAAAGCTACGGAGCAATAGAGGACGACTCAGGTAAAAGAACTTTAGAAGATACTAATCGACCGAGAAGGACAGAAGACAGTAAAGATCGAATCTAGCATCACAGAGCCTCTGTGGGGAGCACTGATTGAGAAGGACAGAAGTGATGAGCCACGAGCTGGTGATCGACCAGTACATCAAGCCGGTTCAACAGAAGAAGAGATATCTAGGCCCTGAAAGGTAGAAGGCAGCCGTCGAGGAAGTCGACCGGCTCCTTAGAGCTGGTTTCATCCGAGAAGTTTAATACTCGAAATGGTTGGCCGATGTGGTATTGGTAAAGAAGGCGCTCAACAAGTGGAGAATGTGTGTGGACTTCACCAATCTTAATAAAGCTTGTCCCAAAGATAGCTATCTCCTGCCTCAAATCGATCAGCTGGTCGATGAGAGCTCTAGACATGAGCTACTTAGATTCATGGATGCCTTCTCCAGCTACAACCAAATCTTCATGGCAAGGCATGACCAGGAGAAGACCTCCTTCATCACCGACCAAGGGACCTATTGCTACAAAATGATGTCATTCGGACTCAAGAATGCTGGGTCACATACCAGAGGCTTGTTAACAAAATCATCAAGCCCCAGATCGGCGGAAATTTGGAGGCTTATGTGGACGACCTACTGGTGAAGTCGAAGCAAGACCCACATATCAGATCTAGATGAGACCTTCTCCACTCTCCGGCGCTACCGCATGAAGCTCAACCAACTAAGTGTGCCTTTAGGGTGCAAACAGGAAAGTTTCTTGGGTTAATGATCACCCAGTGAGGTATTGAGATCAACCCAGAAAAGATATCAGCCATAGAGTGACTACCCAAACCACACACCTTGAAGGACGTCTAGAAGCTGAATGGAAAGATAGCAGCTTTGGGTCGTTTTCTATCCAAATTTACCGAGAGGAGCTTCCCATTCTTCAAAACATTAAGGGGGAAGCAAGAAGCTGAAGGAAAGCATAATTTGGACGACCGTCTAAAGTGCAACTTTTCAAGACCTCAAAGGCTACTTAAGTAT